GAATCTTGCGATCTTTGATTTCATACAGTGGGTGCAGGAAATGATGGGCAATTCAAGACCCTTACCGGTGTGCTTGGAAAGCCGGAATTAGCAGCAGACGAAAGATTCGCGAGCAACGCAGGGCGCGTAGCGAACAGAGATGTCCTCATTCCACTGTTGGAAGAGCTGCTCAAGACACAGACCGCGCAGCATTGGATCGACAAGCTGAACGGCAGAGTCCCAGCAGCGCCCATCCGCAACATCAAGCAAACGTTCGAGCATCCCCAAGCTGTTGCTAGAGGCGTCACGACCGAAGTGGATCATCCCAGAGCGGGCAGAATCAAAATCTCGGCCCCGGCTGTGAGGTATGGAGAGGGCAAGATGCCGGTGAGTTCGTGTGGGAAGAGAGCGAGTGCGCCGTCCATCGACTGAGCGCCTCGCTCATCTCTGGATCCGCATCGATGCGATCTTTCCAGGTCACGAGAGCACCGCCAGTGCTTGGAGAGCATACGGACGAAGTGTTGAAGGAGATGCTCGACTACACCGATGAGCAAATCGCCGAGCTTCGAAAAAGGGGCGCCATCGGCGCGTGAAAAGGACGTTTCACTTGGTGACATGATCGATCCACGAATGCAATGACAAATCGTGAATGCCACCTGCTGCGTACGGAGGCTACTTTGTGATCGTCGCTGTGAGGAAAGATGGACTTAGGCAAGGATTCGTGATTGCACATGGCCACGACCGCACGATGGGTCGTAACTTTTGTCCATGAGGACATGTGTGCCGGAACTAAGGTAGCCGGAGGTGCCGGGGAGGCGGGGCGCTAGGCCGTCCTAGCTACGCCGGACCGGCGCGGTCGAGAGGCTTTGCGACGCTGCACCCAGGAACATAGCTCGATGCTGACTGACGTCTTTGCATGAGAGCTATCGTAGCTTTTGGCAGCAAACATGGACCCAGATTTCGATTAGCCTTGACCCATAGCCTAGCCTTGGCGCTCATGACTTCTCAGGACTGGAGAACCGAGAAGCTTTAGAGAAAGTCTGATCTTGTCAAGGTGAGAGAAGGGCAGAATCGATGACATTGCGTACAATACCATGCCATGCCATGCACAGCTAACTGCATGACACCTCGAGATCGTGCAACTCACACTCTGCTGAGCCAAGGCACGCGCAGCACGCTCACTCACTCTTCTGTAGCAAAAGCCACGCGCGCGTGCACGCCTGCTGTACGCCTGCTTCGGATCTCGGCGCACACATATCATCGTGGTGTGATGCGCGCACGCACGGACACCCGCCCGCTC